AATTAAGAGAAAATTGAATTTTTGTTTTATTTAAATTTGGTACAAGTGATCGTCAGGAAAAGTTAGTGAATCGGTCCCCCAAAAAAAAAAAAAAAAAAAATTTAATATTAAGATAAAGCTTTATAATAGAAATATACAAATATTGTATTTGTTATATAATTTTTATTTTTATTTGGCATGAATTATAATAATAAGTTTATTATATTATAGATTGTTTTTTTCTTTTTTTTCTCTCTGCTTTTTTTTTTTTTTGTTAATTTATTGTAAAATTCATATAAATATTTTTTCTATTTAAATTTTGCTTTTTTTTTCTTTAATCTTAAAAGTTTTTTTGTTTAATAATCAGAAGCTTTTCTTTTATTTAAAAAAGTTAGAAAAAGAAGATTTAAAACTAAAAAAAAAAAGACAATTATAATAAGCTAGGATATAAAAGCCTTTTAGTAATATACTAAGTTTTTCAGTTACAAAAGAATAGTATATACTGTATAGAGAAAAGTTTACTATAGCAAATTAATATAAGTAATTTGAACTTTTGTTGCAAAAAGCTAGGTTAGTTAATACTTATAATATAAATCGGGCCAATTGGCTTTAAATTATATTTGTATGAAATAGATATGAAACAGATTTAGTATTAAACCTAATAAAGTATTAGCATAATTGTTGAATTGATTCAAAAAATAAAAATATAGTATACTGTAACCAATAAACTATTGTTTTATTAATTTTATTTAAATTATTAATCAAAATTTTTAAAACCTAGGTGAGTCTTGACCTGAGCTTTTAGTCTGAGCTGCATGTAATTTATAAATATTTGTTGTTATTATACAAATCTAGTTTTTATATAGTTTCTATGTAAATACTTATATAAATTACCTAATAAAGATATACATGCCGCCCAAACTACAAACTTCCAAAATCCCACCCAAATCCCAAACATAGTAAATTGTCCCAAAGCCCAAATCCCAACATAATAAAATTGAGATTTGGGTAGTTTTTGCGGCAAGTATAAATAAAGATGCGAAAAAAAAAAATTTAATCAAAAAATTATTATTTAATTTTTTTATCTAATCAAAATTAGTATATAACGCATTCTAAGAAATTTGTGCGAGCATAATAAAAAAATTTTTTCCAGTTCATATAGCCCGCAAAATGAAATTCACTGTTATTAAAAGTAATTATCTGCTTTTACTATAACATCATACCTGATCCACATTTTCATTATGTTCTAAAACTTTTATTTTTAATTGACTCGGCCCGCGCAGCCTCCACTTTGAATACCGAAAATAACAATAATCAAGCCATTGTTAAAATATCTAAGGTTTGTAAACGACTATTTATTATTTTGATCAACCGCAGATTATTTATACTATATATATATCTGTATACTGTATATCAAGTATATATATATATATAATTAGCTATTTATATAGTTACGTATTAATAATACAGAGTTACTCTTATGGGGCTGAGAATTGAACTGAGCTTAAATAATGTGATTTTAAATATCTACTATAGCGAGAAATTGGAATTATCTTTTATTACAGATATTGTTACGTATTAGTTTTGTTAAATTCTACGGGATTAACGTATTAAATAATGCTAGATTATTCAACCAAGTTCGAAAAGGTTCGATTGCAATATGTCCGGACTTTGTATACCTATTATGAAACTTAAATACTTTGTTTGGTGATAATCTGCATACACACAAAAAAAGTTGCTGGAATGTTCGGGAAATTTGACGATAGTCCGAGACTCCCCGACTAGGCTAAACATCTCGGACAAATACTGAGTTTTCACGCTCTGTGTATCAATGTTATCAATGTTGTATCATTAGATGATGAGAAATCGAACTTGCTGGAAAGAAATTTCGTAAACAAAGACCCCCATCTTCTTGAGTATAAAGAGCAGGCATTTTAGTGCTTCCTTTCTCAAAAAAAAATTTTTTCAAAACACATCATAAGCGTTTTCAAGCTTTAAAAAAATTTTTTTCTTTTATTCCAAGCGATATCAAGTCTTTCATAAATTAATTAAAAAAAAAAAGCAAACGATACTTTAATAATAAATATTACAATATGGCAGAAGGAAAAGCTGGTACATAAATATATTTCATAAAAATGAAAATTTTGATATTTTGATATTTAATATTTAAAAAATTAATATATGTATTTTTTCTTACGCGCTTTTAGTCGGTATTGATTTGGGGACGACATACTCATGTGTCGGTGTATGGCAAAACGATCGAGTTGAAATTATTGCAAACGACCAGGGTAATCGTACGACACCTTCATATGTCGCTTTTACCGATACAGAGCGTCTGATTGGTGACGCAGCCAAAAACCAAGTCGCCATGAATCCTTATAATACTGTATTCGATGCCAAACGTCTTATTGGTCGCAGATTTGGCGATGCTGAAGTGCAATCGGATATGAAGGTACTAAGTGCTTGATTTTTTGTGTTGATGTAGAAATTTATACGCGTTTATCTGGTTGTACTTGTGAATGATAATATATTAAAGTAATATTTTTTTTGATATGTTTGTATTTAATTAGCATTGGCCATTTAAAGTTATGGATAAGAACTCTAAACCATATATTCAAGTCGAATTTAAGGGTGAAACTAAACAATTTACACCTGAAGAAATATCGTCTATGGTTTTGCTAAAAATGAAGGAAACTGCCGAAGCCTTCCTTGGTACAAAGGTTACAAATGCAGTTATTACAGTTCCTGCATATTTCAATGACTCACAACGTCAAGCTACGAAAGATGCCGGTATGATTTCTGGATTAAATGTTCTCCGTATTATCAACGAACCTACGGCTGCGGCTATCGCTTACGGTTTAGATAAGAAGGCCGCCGGTGAACGAAATGTGCTGATCTTCGATTTAGGTGGTGGTACTTTTGATGTTTCTCTTTTAACCATTGAAGAAGGAATTTTCGAAGTTAAGGCTACTGCCGGTGATACACATCTTGGGGGTGAAGACTTTGATAATCGTCTTGTTAATCACTTTGTTCAAGAATTTAAACGAAAATTCAAGAAGGATCTTACTACAAATGCTCGAGCATTACGTCGTCTACGAACTGCTTGTGAACGTGCAAAGCGTACTTTATCTGCATCAGCTCAAACTTCGATCGAAATTGTTTCACTTTTTGAAGACATCGACTTTTACACTTCCTTAACTCGTGCTCGATTTGAGGAACTAAATCAAGATTTGTTCCAATCTACCATTGA